CGGCAGGGGGCCCGGCAGGCGGGGCTGTTCTCATTGTTCCCATCATGCACCTGGGGAAAGCCCCGTGCAGTGACCCAACCAAGGCCACGCACGCTAGACCGGAATCCGCCCCAGCCTCCCTCCCGTCTGGCGCTGGCTGGCGGAGGTGGCCCCGGAAGCCGTCCCTGCGCCCCCAATCCTCCCACCCGTGCGTCCCTCAGCCCCACGTGGCACTTCAGACGCCTGGCTCGTGGTTTAATTAATAGTCCTTTCGTTTCCTTCTCAGAGAATGAACTTCGCAATGCCAGGGAGACCACCCACATCTGCGGGCTGCTCTGATTTCCACTTGGAGAGCTGAGCGGGGAAGGAGAGGCTGGGGAGGAGACAGGGGTGGGTCGGGGAGAGCCCAGGCCAGCCCCAGGGCCTGGTACACAGCTTTTCTCCTGCCGTCACCCCTGGAAGATGTTCGCAGAGAAGGCACAGGGTGTGGCGCTCTAACCAAAGCCTTGAGGCCTCCCTCCAGCTGGGGAGGCCTCTCCCCCATGACTCCTGACCTTCGGCCTCAGTGCCCACAGGACCTGGCTCCTCCTTCCCCCCCTGGAACCCTCCTCAGGAGTTTCGTGTCTCAACTGAAATGTCACCTTCCTTGGAGGAGACTCTGGCCGGCACTCACCCTCCGTGTGAGCAGAGCATCTGCATACTGGTTTCCCGTCTGTGCACTTGCTTGTGCGTGGAACGTGTGCCCGACTCAAGTGTGAGCTCCCAGCCGGCAGGCACCTGGCTTGCCCACGCTGCGTGCCCCCCGCACCGCCCAGAGCCTGGCACGGGAGTGGCTCACTAATTGCCTGTTGAATGACTGAATGAGTCTGGGGGAAAGAGCCCCAGGAAACATGGGAAATTAACCGCGTGGGTGACCTTGGATAAGCCCCTTTGTTACTCCCGCACCTCGGTTTCCCAATCTGATCCTGAGGGGACGGGCTCAGAGGTCCCGGTGGCTCTCCCAGCCCTGACATTCTCTTGTGCGCAGGATGGCAAGGCCCCGGGCGTCTTGTCCCCCAAGCTCACGATATAAAGGGCCTTGAAAGAAGTGATACAGAAGGTGAGGAAAGAGGCAGGGAGGACAAGGGCCGACGGGAGGAGATGGTCCCCCCCCCAGACACCTGTCTACCCCCCGTACCTCTAACCTAGGGATTCCAGAAAAACCCCACTGGGCAGATTACCTAGTAGAAAGAGCATCGGGTCAGAAGGGAGACAGCTGAGTCTTGTCCCGACTCCTACTCACTGCGTGACCTTCGGCAAGTCCCTTGCCCTCTCTGTGCACCACCACTGAATCCCAGGTCTCAGGGTCGGACTGATTGCAGGGGCTCGGGGACTGAGTGTGCGTAAGAACGCAGGCGTGGATGGATGAATGGGCATCGTCAGAGCTCCTGGCTCAGTGGCAGCTCCCCCCAAGGATGCTCGCTGCTGGACTGGAACTTTCTCTCCCGCTTTCCCCGTGCCTCCTTTCCTCGCTCAGTCTCCCCTTCTCCATATATACGCATACCTCTCTGACCTGGCCTTCCTCTCCCTACAGTTGCCCCGAAAGGACCCAAAATCATGATGACACCCAGCAGAGCCCGGGTCGGGGACACAGTGAGGATTCTGGTCCACGGATTTCAGGTCGGCCTCACTCCGAGCATCTGGAAGGGTGGTGGGAGGTGACAGGGACACCACTGGTCACCGGTATCCCTCTTAGACACTTCCCTTGACCTCAGTCCCCCAGCCGGTGAGGCGGAATGGCCTCTGATGAGGAAGGGCAAGGTTTTGCTCTCCATCCAGAGCCCAGCGCAGACCCAGCTCATGGACTTCGCATCCTTTCCGGCCCTGGAGTCCTTCTCTTGCTGGGGTTCCGGGCAGCCACTCCTGCCCCATCGGATGGCAGCGTGTGTCCAGCCCCGGCCAGGCCATGCCTCTGACCCCTTCCTGCTCTGGCAGAATGGTTCCCCCTGTGACCCAACTCTCCCCCCCGCCCCCGACCCACAGAACGAAGTCTTCCCGGAGCCCATGTTCACCTGGACGCGGGTCGGAAGCCGCCTCTTGGATGGCAGCGCTGAGTTTGACGGGAAGGAGCTGGTGCTGGAGCGGGTTCCCGCCGAGCTCAACGGCTCCATGTACCGTTGCACAGCCCAGAACCCCCTGGGCTCCACCGACACACACACCCGGCTCATCGTATTTGGTACGCTGCCCTGAGCGGGGGTTGGGAGGGCGACCAGGGGTGGCGCCCTGGCTGGAGCCGTCCCAAGGACGAGGGAGCGGCCGGGGCCCGGGGCCCCTAAGTTTGCCTGCGAGGATGCCCCACACAGAGGCACCGGAGTTCGGTGCTTGAAGCCGGATCTCTGGGTTCGGATCCCGGACGCATCACTTCACAGCCGGGCAACCTGGGGCAAGGCGCTCGACCTCCCCCATTTCTCCGTCTGTGAAGCAGACCTAATGCCACGTCCGCACAGCGGCTTTGGGCTGCCCCGAGAGGGCGCCCGCGATACCACGCGGCAGGTGCTGGAAACGGGAGGGTTCCTTTACGGAGCTCTGAATGTCACCCCAAACCGGTTCTCTTTCTGTCCTTTCCAACAGAAAACCCAAATATTCCAAGAGGAACGGAAGACTCCAATGGTATGTCCTCACCCTCAGAGCTTCTCGCTAAAAACCAAGGGATCTGCAAAGGTCTGGGCAGCCCCGGTCTCCCCAGCGGCCCGTTCGTATACCCTTGCCTTTGCCTCAAGCCTCAGGCAGGCAGTTGCCCTTTGGTTCAACAGAGTCTGGGTCAAGGGTGGTCAGGAATGGGTGCTGAGGCACTAAGGGGGACTCAGCACCCCGAAATCAGCCAGTGGGGGTTTCCAGGGACCTAGCGTGTCCCCCCGCCACCATCCACAATGACTCTAGCTCGCTCAGCTCAGAGAACTTAGCTGCCCTGGCCCTAAGAGGATGTGTCGCCATTGACCATGGGCTTGTGCCCCCGGGCTCGGGGCAGTGGGGAGCACACTCCACAGGGCAGTGAGGAGCACATTCAGGTGCCTCGGCTGGAGACTCTTATACCCCCCTCCCTGAGCTCCTGCCCAACCTGAGCACCGGTCCACGGGACCCAAACACCGCTCCCTGGCCCACCAGCCCTTTCCTCCCCACACTGGGCTGATCTCACATTTCACAATGGAGGCCCCCACACCCGGTCCCCACTGGATGGTCCCAGTGGCCACCAGGGAGCCTGAGCTCAGTCCAGCAAGCCCGGGGCAGGGAAGGGGTCACACCCAGTTTGGTGGGACGGGTGGCAGAGCTTGGATTTGAACCCAGTGCATCCCGTGGCTGAATCCAGACTCTGCTGGGGCCCTTTGAAGCTCTGCCATCCGGGATCCATTCCTGCCCCGCCCATCAGGATCCGCGGCCCTGACCCTGACCCCGCTCCCTGCTGCCCTGACACAGGTTCCGCTTCTGGCCCTGCTGGCGTCCGGCTCACCTTGGTGCTCGCCCTGACAGTGGTCCTGGAGCTGACGTGAAGGCCCGGCCGCCGCTCCCGCCACTCCACCCCACGCTGACTTCGCCGCGATCGGTTTTCTTTTCTTTTCTAAACTATTTCCAGTCTGTTCTTCGTCTCTTTCTGTCTGTGTCTTGGCTTCTTCAACCAGTTTAATTAAAACGAAACAATTTTCCCCACCTTAGTCTGCGGCTCTGAATTCGTCTTTTGTTCTGTGGCAGCGACTGGCACTCCCTGGCCCCCAGTGTCAGGACAGGCCCCGGGGAGGGGGTGACAGAGGGGACGGAAGGCACGCTCCTTCCGGGAAGAGGAGCGGAGGTGCGGCTTACCGTCTCGGTCCAAGCGACCAGATGCGAGAAGTGGCCGGAGACTCTCAGGAAATGCAAGGCTCTTTGGGGCCGAGTGTAACAGTCAGCTGTTGCCGCAGTACTGCTGCGTAACAAACCAACCCAACCTCAATTTACGCAACAACACGCATTTATTAGTATGCTCGTGTTCACGATGAAGCCGTTCCGCTGGTCTAGTCCGAGCTCAGTTGGGCAGCTTTGCTTCAGGTGACAGGTCGACTGGGCTGGACTCTTGGCTATGGTCGGGTTCAGGTCTCCACCACAGGTGTTTGCTCTAGGCCCAGGCTACAGGGGCAGTGGCTCTCTGACATTTAATGCTCTTACGGCGGCTCACCAAAGCTCAAGGAGCAACCCAAACCCCACAGCCATAGGCAAGGCATCTGCCTGTCGTGTCTATGAATGCTTCTTTAGCCAAAGCAAGTCACCTGGCCAGAGCCAACATCAATCACGATCACGCAAAAGCCAGTGGCAGAGGTTCCAGAACTTTCTACCCGACCATGAGAAGATTCCCTGTGCCATTCGGCTATTAGCTCAGAGGGAAGGACTGAGAGACCCTGGGGAGGGTTGGGGTTGGCCCCTCTGAGCTGTAGCCAAGACTGAGGGTCATCGGGGGGACCCCACAGAGGACTGTATTAGTTTGGATAGGGCAGGCCATGTTGCAGTAACACAGTAACCCCAGAGTCTCACTGGCTTGGCATAATAACAATTTATTTGGGGTTCATGCAGGTCGGGCAGCCCTCTTGCATGTTGTAGCTACACTAACCAGAACATGGGGCCTCTGGAATCTCCAGGGTGGGGGAGGGGAGGGCCGGAGGCTCGCCGCGGCAGGCAGGACAATGGTCCCCCAAAGATGTCCACACCCTAATCCCCGGAACCCATGTATATGTTACTTCACACGACATAAGTCATTTTGCTGATATGATTAATTTAAGGATCTTGAGATGGGAAGATTCATCTGGGTTATTCCAGGTGGGTCCCATGTCATCCCAAGGGTCCTTCAAGAGTGAGGCGAGAAGGTCAATGTCCGCAGCAGGAGATGTGACAACCGGAGCAAGGGACTGGAGTGAGAGGCCAGGAGCCTACCCGTGCAGGTGGCCCTGGAAGCCAGGAGGGCACCGGAGCAGATTTTCCCCGAGAGCCTCCCGAAGGAGCTGG